CAATCAATGAGATAGTGGTGACCGCGGCCACATCTGACCCCTACCAATCAACGAGATTCTGGGTACTGCGGCCAGGTCTGACCCCTACCAATCAATGAGATAGTGGTGACTGAGGCCACATCTGACCCCTACCAATCAACAGGATAGTGGTGACATCTGACCCCTACTAATCCTGAGATAGTGGTGACCGAGGCCACATCTGACCCCTACCAATCAACGGGATAGTGGTGACATCTGACCCCTACCAATCAACGAGATAGTGGTGACCGAGGCCACATCTGACCCCTACCAATCAATGAGATAGTGGTGACTGAGGCCACATCTGACCCCTACAGATCCATGCAATACTGTAAATCGTGGCCATGCCAGACTCCTCCCACGAGATGCCTTTAACTGCTGCAGTGTCTGACCCCTACCAATCCACAAGATACTGGACACTGTGGCCACATCAGACCCAAAAACCTAACAGCTGACCCAAAACAGCACAAACCATGAAAATGAGTCCCAATGTGGGAACAAACTTTCTGTGTTGCGTCACACTTAGTTTGAGGAGCATTATTCTCCAAAGACGAGGAGCACAGTGAGAGAGCGTCAGTTTCCATAGAGGCCAAACAGCGCTGAGAGGTGGGGAAACTCTGAGAGGACAGGGATAAAAAAGACTCAGTCTTTTGGAGTCCAGCAGCTCCTTCTTCCTGTGACGATGGAGGAGGCCGAGCTCTGCTTTCCAGAGCTCAACACCTCCTGCAGGACGCTGCAGCGTCCTCAGTCTGAGGTCATAGTGACTGTAGTTGCTCTGTCCTCCATCTCTGTATTCACTGCGATTCTCAACCTGCTGGTCATCATCTCCATCTCACACTTCAGGTAACAGCGCAGCCTTTTCCTGTTTTCCTGTTTGACTCCGACTGCTTCTGCTTTCTAATGAAGGGTAAAGATGTGAACGATAAAATGGAGGAGAAATAAGTGCTTATGTATTTCTGTTTGGTTTCTGGATGTGAATGTCGATCACAAGGGTGGTTTTATTGGTGCGAATAGAGTTTTATAAATGTTTCTATGTATGTATACACATACTCACAAATAAATATTCGTGAGTTCTTCTTTGTAATTGTTGTTTACTGATCACTTTTTGCTGATGGAACTGTGTGAAATAAATGCATCCATTCTTCCTCCACAGGCAGCTCCACACCCCCACCAACCTCCTCCTCCTCTCTCTGTCTGTCTCTGACTTCCTTGTCAGCCTTCTTTTGATCTTTCAGATGATGGTAATGGACAGCTGCATGTTCCTGAGTGACATAATATGTAATCTGTATAAGTACCTGGCTTACATCGTCACCTCCGCCTCCATAGGAACCATGGTAATCATTTCTATTGACCGTTATGTGGCTGTTTGCCACCCTCTGCATTACCCCACCAAAGTTACACAGAAAAGGGTGAAAATCTGTGTCTGTGTGTGTTGGATCTGCTCTGTGGTGTTTCAGACTCTGGTTCTTAAGGATATCCTTAAGCAACCCGACAACTATGACTTTTGCATAGGGCAGTGTGCCTATGTTATTACCTACTTAGCAGGATACATTGATTTGACCTTCTCCTTCCTGGCTCCCATCACTGTGATAGTAGTTCTGTATCTCAGGGTGTTTGTGGTGG